TTATGATTTTTCTGGATTTGCAATTTCTCTGTAATTAAAAAGGTCATATATTGGCCCATGCATGTTTAATTCTCCCATGGGATCTTACCCTTCTACTCCCTCTGTTCCTAAATATAAGTCTTTTTAGAGATTCCAATGCGGGCTACATATGGAGCAAAATGAGTGAATCTACACTCTAAAATATGTCTATATTCATCCGTATGTAGTTCTTATTGAAATCTCTAATAAAAAGACTTATATTTAGGAACGGAGGGAGTACACAAACAAATAATAAGCTTGGTAGATTAACTAAGGTTTTTCATGGGATTGGCTCCTAAATTTTCTTGTGAAGGCTGGGGCATAATTTTAGGCACATAAGGCGACAGGCTTTTGACATCTAATATTTTTATTTTTTGACAGGACATTAAAGCACTTTTTCCTTCCGACTACAATCCATTTTATGCTGGATTTGGCAACAGAGACACTGACGAGCTTACATACAAAAAGATGGGAATTTCGAAAGGCAAGATTTTTATCATCAACCCCAAGGTATCTCAGTTACACTAAGTCGAAGTCATTAATGTTGTGCTCAATGTGTGATTGCCTCCTAAGTCACATCTTTTTGGCATGCAGGGTGAAGTGGCCATCAATAGTTCAGTTGATGTGAAGTCCTATACCTCCTTGCATACCCTTGTCAATGACATGTTCCCTCCAACAACTTTGGTTGAGCAGGTCAGTGGCCATTCTGAACTCTGCTAGGATTTATTTTTTTGCACTCATCTGAACTCTGCTAATTACTCCAGACATAGTGTAGTACTCCCTCCGTTCCTAAATATAAGTCTTTGTGGAGATTTCACTATGGACCACATACGGATGTATGTAGATTCACTCATTTTGCTTCGTATGTAGTTCATTGTGAAATCTCTACAAAGACTTATATTTAGGAACGGAGGGAGTAGTATTTTGCAGTGGTTCCAGACATAGTGGAACAGTGTTATAGTCCCTCCGTCCCAAAATAAGTGTCCCAACTTTGTACTAAAGTTACTATACTAAGATTGAGACACTTATTTTGGGACAGAGGGAGTTGTTAGGGACATGTAACAATTATCAAATATGCAACAACAAATTCACGTATGCTGGGTATTATCCAGACCTTAATAGTTTCTATCCATTTCATTTTGGTACTTATAGACTCGTCTTTTACCTAGTACATTTTGCCAGTTGAGAGTTTGGATAATGCTGTTTTGCCTTGTGTATTAATTTTGAATAGCCAACAAATCATACGGATATTCCTCACGAAAGGGAACCGTAAGGATATTTCTTTATCATAAATTGTCAGGGAACAGTTTTCTAACTAGATATTTAAACTTGCCACCGATGCTTACACAGTAGTACAGTCAGTTACAATAATTTTTCCAAACAGCGATAAGGTCACATAGAGATGAAATGCACTGGACTTGTGTATATGCAAACTACACTCAGAAGATTAGCTACACTGACGCAGGGGCATGTTTATCTTTTCTTTCTTCTATATTATCAAGAACTCGAACGTTCTTCTGCTGTAAGATGTAGACATGCCTATTGATTACTCTTTTCAAGAGCAACCAGACTGATAGTTCCAGTGATACGGAGTACTATTTATTTTGGTTTCTGACCATCAATTATAATGCTGTGCAGGAAGACTACAACTCCTGGAATTATTGGAAGGTGCCGCTGCCAGACATTGATTTGTAGAGTAGTCTTGACAAGTACAGCAGTTAGACGCAAGTAGAGTCTGCGGGCAGCATGATAGGCAAGTTTGTGCACGCTAGTTCTCAATCGCCACAGCAGAATTCTGTCCAACCTGTAAAGCATCTGGTGAGTTTTCCAGATGGACTGTTTTGATCGCCGTTGTTGCAGAAGCTCGATTTTCCTTGCCCCGACGCAGCTCTATCACGATCATTCATCTTTTAGGTAGTGATCTGATCGTCATAGCCGTCGTTGAAACTTAACGCTGCTGTGCCGGCATCTCAATTCGCAACGAGGTAGCCCGCCGAGCCTGTTAGTAATCTGTTGTCAGCAGCTGCTAGCCTGCGTTGCTTTCCTTGTTCCCGTAGCTGTAGGCTGTAGCTTATCTGTGAGTTAGATTACTTGTGGTACACTGGAAAGCAACCGGGAACAGAAAACTGTCAATCACGCTGTATGTTGTTGTATATGGGATATAAATACGACTGCATTTTTCTGTAAACGTCGCATGTGCATGACTGCTGGGCCTGTGGATGGAGATGATACCAACTCAGATTATGGTATGGAACTTTTTTTTCGTCTCGTGGTGGTAACCCTGCTGACGATTGCCAAACGGCGAAGAAAACTTTTAGCACCATCGGGGCGGTTCTTTGGAAACTCTGATGGGGTGTGGACGTGCCCGAGCAGAGCAGCTGACCTCCAGAGCTCATCACATACTTCTTCCGAATGTTTTCACGAGGACATCAACAGCCAAAGCCGAACAATCTGGGATTCTTTCTTTCCTTGCATTTGGTGATGGAAGGGCCCCAGAGTCGAGTTGCCGTAGCCGGAGACGGAGAGGAACAGAAAAGAGAAGCTTCTTAACCTAGAGCTCTGCGATCGCCTTCCTTTGCACTCCTTTTACGGGGGGAGGATGTAAACGTTTTGGCAACACGCAAGAGCAGGCGAGTCCCATCTGTTTACTTGTCCAACTCCAAGCAACCGCACTGTCCGGTCGGGTCGCACGGACGGGAAACCACCACGCAGACGGTCAAGAAAAACGCGACTACTCCACGCGATAAAATGTACCGTGCAGGGATCGCAACACGAAACGTGCGGCTGTGACCAAAACCGAACCAACAACTACTGCTACTACCACATATGCTCATTCTCGCACGCGTGTAAAAGCTAAGCGACAAGGCGCGGGATAGTTTAAGCGTGTAAAAGCTGCGGTGGAAATCTTCCCGGGGTCATGAGAGTGAGCTAAGCAAAGGTGCTTTGACCTTTAATCACCAGATGCTTGTTGCTCAGCTTAGCTTAATCCGTCAGCACGAATCTTCCACGTTCAAAACCACCGCCGGCAGGCCGGCCGGTCACGCGAACGGAGAGCTGGTCTGCGGCGTGCAAGTGGGGCGCGCCCCCTTTCAGCCACCCTAAACCCCGGAGGTTCGGCCGTTGACCGAAGACCTAGTACGTACTAATCTACGTCTCACGCTCCCTAATCCAACCGGCTGGATCACTGCTGCGACTAGTAAGCGTCTTTGTACAGGACTTTCCTCCTTTCCTCCTTGAGTTAAGACTTTGGGGCTGGGCAGACGATGTTAACGTTGCGATTTTTTAAGCGATTCAATGGACTTTTGCTTAGTGCGCTACTAGCTCGTAGAATACTCTACTAGCTCGTATAGATGGAAATAGAGTGTGGTAGCGGAGAATAAAGAGGTTGGTTGGCGGCCCACAATGTCAATGCCTTTCCTTTTCCTTGCAAAGACAAGCTAACAGAACCCCTTGTTTCATGAAAGAATTTGAGAAAAAATTATGTGCATCTATACTGTACTTTTGCTGTTAACTGTTATCATGGTTAGTAGGAGCAGTGGAGCAGCAGGAGTAGGCGTAGGAGAGCGGTGCTTTGCCAAAATTCACGGCTTGTCAGGTTGCTCTGCAGGATGTCACCTTCGCGTAAGCTGAGCAAGGAAGGAAAAGAAGGAGTTGCTGCTTGGCTTGGCAGCGATGGCAGGTCCGCCACCCCCGCGCACGCACGCGCGCACGCTTCTTCAAGGAGCACGATCCCCGAAGCATCCATCCGTAGTTCCATGCAGGCCACTGATCAGACGCAGCGACGCAGGCATGCAAAAGCACAGCAGCAGCGACGCAGCCGGCCCATGCCCGCCGGGGCCTCCTCTGTCTGTCTGAGACGATCCTTCTTTTGACTGCGCCTCTGATTCAGACGGCCACGACGCCCCTCCCTCAGCCACTGCACACGCCACGCCACCGATGGATGGTTGAGTGGCAGGCTGGTTGACATCGGGATGGGATCGAGACGGCATAAATAAACAAATGCACGCACGTACGTACCACTACCCGCAAGCACACACGGCAGCTAGAAAATTGATCACTGTAGTGTACTACTACTACTACTACTACATCGTGTGTCGTAGTCGATCCATGCATTGTTTTTGTATTGATCTGGGGGCGTGAGCTAGCCGAGCTTCTCTCCTCGAATTCGAATTCGAAAGTTTTGGCCGGAGCGGCCAAGGATTTTGAGCGGATTTATAAGCTTGATTCAGCCGCCCGAGGAGAGGAGCGAGCAGAACAGAGCAGCCCGGTCGGTCTCCGGGCCAGTGCAGATACTGCTAAATCAGCCGTACTCCACTGGTCTGGTTGGAACTAGAGATGTATGCATGCGCTCCTAATTGCCTCGCAATGACTGACCTCGCATTGTGATTTGCACCAGTACCCATGCCGTAATCATCATCATCAACACTCAGAATACAACAGTATGTAGGGGCAGTATTTTTACCGTCAAATCGAATGGCACGAGACGGCTAGATAGCCCGATAGCCATGCATGTAAAGAAGAGAAGCGTGGAGGAGCGGAGAGAGGGGGCGAAAGCAAAAGAAAAGAGCGGTCCTAATCGAGTAATCAGTCACTAGTGGCGGTACTTGTCCGACCGCCAAAGCCGATTTTCCCTCGAGGGAAAAGAGCAAGGGAAAAGAGCAATGCAATGCGTGGAGGGGGGCAGCACGACACGGATAAAGCCAGAGACCGAGCACGCAGACAGTGAGCAAACAAAGCACCAGGGGACGTACGTGCAGGATGCAAACAAGACTCGGATCATGCGGACGGACCAGCAATGCTAGTTTAGTTTGCTGGGTAGGTAGCCCCCACAACCAGGGCGGGCAAAGCTCGGGTCCGTCTTCGGTATAAGAGCGCCCCCACCCATGGATGCCACTGCCATTTCTGCCCGTCCCAGCCAGTGTCGAGAGCAGCGGAGCGAGTGAGGCACAGCGACCACAGAGCTTACCAGGCGAGGGCTGACGATGGCGAGCAGGCGAGGGGAGGAGGTCTATGGGGACGGGCTGGAGGAGGAGTACATCAACATGGACCTGAGCCCCGCGGCGGGGAGGGAGTTCGAGTTCCACTTCCACATGTCCGCGCCGCTGGACAGGTCGGGCCAGCCGCCGCTCGCGTCCCCGGCCGACGAGCTCTTCTACAAGGGCAAGCTGCTGCCGCTGCACATGCCGCCGCGCGTCCAGATGGTCGAGGAGCTCCTCCTCGACGGCGTCCGGGCCAGGGCCGGGCCGCGTCTCGGCGGCCTCGCCGTCAGCACCGCCCCCGCCACGCCGTGCGAGCGCTCCCGCGGCGTCTCGCCGGCCAACTCGTGCTTTGTCAGCGGGGAGCTCAACGTGGAGGAGTTCTTCCGGGAGTACGCGGCCGGCATGGCTCTCGCCGACGACGACGACGCCGCGTCGGCGGCCGGCGGCGAGAAGAAGCCCTGGTCCAGGAGGCTCCGGTTCGTCAGGCAGCTCAACCTCGGCCGCCAGCTCAAGGCCTCCAAGGCTTACCTCAAGACCATGTTCGCCGGGAAGCAAGCCGGAACCGGCGGCGACGACAAGCACGGTTTGGGTGGAAAGGATCTCTCCGGCCATGGCCACGGACATGGCCACCACCCCCGGGCGTGGAGGAAGAACCCGTTCGGACACATCAGAAGCAACAGGTGCATCACCGAGCAGAGCGGCGGCGGCGGCGGCCGCGCCGGGCACCGGAGGTCCTTCTCCAGCGTCGTCGTCCGGTACTCGGCGTCCAACAAGACGTCCCCCACGCCGGCGCCCCCGTCATCCTCGTCGTGCTCCTCGACGTCCTCCTCGTCCAAGTCCTCCACCTCGTCGTCGGTCCGGTGCTCGAGCGACTCCGACGGTGGCGCGGGGGCGGGGGCGCCGACGCTGAGGAGGAGCAGCAGCGCGAGCTCGGAGGCGGAGAACCCCATCCAGGGGCTCATCGCCTACTGCAAGAAGTCCCAGCAGCTGGCCTCGGTGCGGAAGAGCGCCAGCGACGCCGGGTTCCGGTTCCTGTCGTCGTCGGCGGCGTCCAAGGTCGCCGCGGAGTCCGAGGGCCTCGACGAGCTCATCGAGATCTGCAGGGTGTGATCGACCGATCCGTCGGTGCTGTCATGAACGTCGAATGTGTACAATGGTGTATGAAATGATGCATTCTGGAAATTTTGTGGTACTCAAACTTGTGTTGGTGTCACGATGGTGTTGCTCAAATCAACTGACTCTGAATTACTAAACCACATCTGATTAGTACAGGCATGAGTACAGTACGAGTAGATTCTTTCTCTGTCTCTTAACTAAATTTGTCTTGCAGTATGGTAACCACTAAACAACATCTAATTAGTGCAAGTGCAAGACAAGAAGCATATGCTGCAGCTTAAAAAAAGAGAGAGAATGAGACCTGAGAAGAGATCACAAAGTCGAGCACACAATTTCATCGAGAGATCATATCATAGTATATATTTGCAGTCGGCACGTATCAGTCGATCCTTCCCAAGAAGTCTTACGAGTGTGAAAATGACCTCCGTATTATTCCCCACCGCTTGCATTTCTTCAGAGACTATAGACTGTAAGGCCAACTCCACCGCGCGACCCTATCTTGTCCGGCTTCGTCCGTTTGGAGTAAAAGGAACAAAAGAGATGGCCCAGCGCACGGCCTCAAACGGACAATTGTTCGGATTCCGTCCGTTTTTGATCCATCCCCGACGCAAGTTGGCTCGGTTTGGGGTGAAACGGACGTGCGCGGACGGCCGCAACGCACGCCCTTGTCCCCCCTGTGGCCCGCCTGTCGGGGACACTAGCAGTCCCTCCGCTCCCAACGTTTCACCCTCTCTCCCCGCCCCGCCCCGCCGTCGGCGCCGCCGCTATTCTCCGGCCGCCTCCTCACCGCGCAGCCCCCCGCCGTCCATACCAAACCACGTCTCGACATGGCCGCCACCACGCCCGCGCTTTCGCCGTAGTTTTGGTCGTCTATCGGGGGAGGTTTGGCCGTCGCCGTCCTTGCCGATGGCGGAGGGGACACGAGTGCCGGCGACGTACCACGACGGCCGAGGCAGATTCCGACGAGAGCTCCAGAGCGGCCAGTAGCCGACCGGCAACCACCCCTGCTGCGTCGAGGTGATCATCGCGGCCTCTTCGCCACCACGACCGCAAGGTGTTCGACCTTTTGCCAACAAAGGTATGGACAGTGGAGACGAGTTTTTCTTCCATCATTTCCTCTGTTCATCGGACGATTCGTCGTCGGATGATGAAGATCTTGTGGTGGCTGCACTGGTCGTTCACGACCATATTCAACGGCAGCTTCCTCGGTACAGGGGGTCACTCCCCGGGCGTGCTCCCAACCTGAACCGCAACAGGGAGAGAGGCCACGCCTTGCTCTATGCCGATTACTTTGCCAACACCCCACTCTTCAAGCCGGATAAATTTCGTCGCCGTTTTCGTATGGCAAGGCATGTGTTCAATCGTATCCGAGAGGGAGTGGTTGCTCATGACCCATACTTCGAGTGCAAGACGGATGCCCTTGGAAAGTTTGGATTCTCCTCTTACCAGAAATGCACCGCGGCCATCCGCATGCTTGCATATGGAATTCCAGGCGATCTGGTGGATGAGTATGTGCGTATGAGTGAGACAACATGTCTGATGTCAATGTACAAGTTTTGCCAGGCTGTGATCGAGGTGTTTGGCCCAGAGTACTTGAGGCAGCCAATTGCCGCTGATACAAAGAGATTGTTGGCGACCAACGCAGCTAGAGGCTTTCCAGGCATGCTTGGCAGCATAGATTGTATGCATTGGGAGTGGAAGAACTGTCCATTTGCTTGGCAGGGCCAGTACAAGGGGCATGTTAACGGGTGCACTGTCATATTAGAAGCGGTGGCATCGCAAGATCTTTGGGTATGGCATTCTTTCTTCGACATGGCAGGTTCTCACAATGATATCAACGTGCTGCAGCGTTCTCCAGTCTTCGTGAGGCTTGCAGAAGGCCACTCCCCACCTGCCAACTTTGAGATCAACGGCCACCATTACAACAAGGGATACTATCTAGCAGATGGTATATATCCTCAGTGGTCAACTTTTGTGAAGACAATCTCGAAACCCCAATGTGAGAAAAGAAAGAGATTTGCCCAAATGCAAGAGAGTGTTAGAAAGGATGTGGAACGTGTTTTTGATGTGCTTCAATCCCGGTGGGGTATCGTTCGAAACCCTTCACTGTCATGGGATGAAATGAAGCTTTGGGAGGTGATGACTGCTTGTGTGATCATGCACAACATGATCGTCGAGGACGAGCGTGATGAGAGTATCTTCGACAAAGGATTTGAGTATCAAGGTGAAAATATTGAGCCCCTGCACCAAGACCCGGCCACATTTGAACAGTTTGCCCAATTCCACCGTGAGATACGTGATTGGCACACTCATTTGAATCTTCAAAATGACTTGGTTGAGCACGTCTGGGATCACATTGGCAACCAATAGATGTAAAACTACTTTATGTTCAGTCAAGACAATTTTGATTTGATTGTAAAACTATTTTATTAAAAACAATTTCAATTGGGTTGTAAAACTATTTTAATTTTCAGACAAATATTTGGGTTGGAAACTAGTTTTGATGTAAATTAGGGCATTTTTGGCCCTGACGGACAGGATGGGGCAAATGGATGCGGCCGCGCGCTGGGCGCACGGCCACCGCATTTCAGGACAGACCCGGACACGATCCCAAATCCATACCCAAACGGACAGAAACCGGACAAAACGGACATCCGTTTGGGGTCGCGTGGTGGAGTTGGCCTAAATTCATCTCAGCGCCGTGGCACGAAGATACGACAGGCCAAAGCAAAGATCGCGCGCTCTTCACAGAATCATTTGAAGGTACGACCAAAGATACTACTACTACTACTAGCAACGCATGAATATACCACCATCAATCCACCATCATGCAACCTGACAAGAGCATCATAGGCAGAGCCAAGTGAAGCCTGATTCCTCTCTGACACTTTGATTTCATGCCATTAGTTAATCTGGATCTAGGCCACGGTGGATCATACGTACATAAGTATACACCATGCATGCATGTGCGCGAAAGCAAAAAAAATACACTACGAGAGCAGAGTATCTTGTTTCAAGGAGAGGCCGAGCTCCAGTGGCCGACACACAAAAATTGCAACCTACAAAGGGCTGGATTTAATCCCACTGACTACATCAGTATATGTATTAGTGGTTGCCAATACCAACACCATGCACGTCGTTAAAGCTAAGCACAATCAACTAATCAAGGAAATTAACAAGCATGAGGCACGCAGAGCTTTTTGTTTCCATCAATGGCTGTCTCGTCCATGTCCGAGCCGCCATGGTAGGCATTCAGGGAAACATGGCGCGTAAACAAGGGCATGCTGATTGATACGGCGGCTCCACGCATTGGAAGTGGATTAGCACCTTTCCACATGAACGCTTGTATGCGAGGGCCACTCTTGTTTCCATTGTTCCTTGAGAGGCAACGTGGGCAATGTAGTTAACTGCTCAGCAATTTTGTTGAGTATTTTAACTATTGCCCAACATAGAACTATAGAAGGATAATGAAATGAAAGAAAATTTTGAAGTTAGTGGGCCAACTTTCTTTTGAAGTTAACAATTGCTCAACATAGGGTAATGAAATAAATAAGAACAGTAAGGTAGTGGGCCAAAGCTGTTTACTACTTAAACCGGTTCAGCTGATGAACTAAGTGCTTTCATACCATTGTTAGATACTATTAAACGTAGTTTTTATAGATAGTATAGTTGAATAGCACAAGTGTAATGCAGAAAACAGGGACCAGATTGGCATATTTTACTCGTGCTAAGCTGCAATCCAACAGACAAGATCAGCTAGCCAACATCACAGCTGCCAGATAAAAACCAAGTCTTCCTCAAGACTGCAAGGCATGGTGGGTATATATTCTCTACGCTTGGCTTAAGCAACACATGATGCTGAAACTAGACCAGAATAGTTAAATAAATGCAAATCGGCAGCACATCAGGCTGCTAATGATGCCGCATAAAGAGCACTGCATATGCTTGTCACCATCTTAGCTGCATTAAATCAGATCAGCAGGATCCCACTCGGTGATAAAATAACAACCCTGTTCCGTCGCTTTGAGTGCGGGGATGCCGTAAAGAAATTGCGAAGAACACTAATTCTTTTCAAAAAATAAGTATGTAGCCAATACCAATACCATGCTCATCTTTTAAGTAAATAATAATACCGATATCATGCTCATCTTTAAAGCTAAGCAGCTCAGGGAAGCAAGCATGGACACCATTGGTTGAGCAGCAAAGTGGAACTGAAAGGAAAGGAGACAATGGATGGAGGCACACAGAGCTTTCTGTTCCCATCAATGGCTGTCTCATGCATGTCTGAGTCGCCATGGAGGCACACACGGAGACATGGCGCGTAAACAAGGGTATTCTGATCGATAAGGCTCCACGCATTGGAATTGGATTAGTAGCTTTCTACATTTCCTTTTTCTTTTCAGATTAACAATTGCTCAGCATGGAAGGGCGAGAGATCTCGAAGGATAATGAAATGAAAGAAAGACCGAAAGCCGGTGGGCCAAAATTCCTTGCTACTTAAACCTGCTAAGCTAATGAACTAAGGCTTGCATACCATTGGTAGATGTTGACACAGTAGTTTAAGACAAAAATATTAGCAGTTGAATAGCACAAGTGTAATGCAGAAAACAGGGGCCATATTCCATATTTTTTACTCGTGCTTCCGGTCATGGACTGAAAGCTGCAATGCAACAGATATGCTAGATCAGATCAGCTCAGCTAGCCCACCACACCACATCTGTCTGATGAAAACCAAGACTCTCCAAGACGGCAACCACGTATGAGGTATGTATATATTCTCTCCCCTTTTGAGTAAAGCATGATGGCATGATGGTGAAACAACACCAGAAAAATTCGACGAAAATACAAAATGAATCGAGCACATCAGGCTGCTAATGGTTTCGCATAAAGGGCACCACCGAATGCTTGTCATTGGGCCATAAAAAAGCAACTCCATCTCAATCATCGATGTAGTGAGCCGCAACCCCATATGCAAGCACTCCAACAATCGCGGC